TGAATCAATGAACGTGAATCAGCTCAACGCCAAAGTATTGCGGTTCAAGGTTATACCATCAAGAGATATGCTGCCTGTAACTACTTTGTAGTTTGAAAGGGTGTATAAAGGAATAAGGATACAGTTGGGCAGGCGAGTCTTTCTGTTGGTCTATTGTAAAAAACTGGGTCAAATTTTTTCCAATTTTTTTGCAAATTGTAATAAAACTTGGTATACCGATTGACCCGAGGGTGTGCAAGACACATTTGTTGTGTCTGTCTGTTAAGGTACCTCCATGGTAACCAAGCTTTGCACAAAGAATACAATTTGTTTTAATAATCTTGTGGAGCATATTCTTTCCAAGTTTTAGCAATTTTATAGTTTTGGTATCTTTGATGAGGCATTATAATAACAGTATAAAACTCAATGCATGTGCAGTGTGTAAAATAAGTATGTGAGCAAACTATTGGAAGTAGTTTGATCGATTCATATGAAACTCAGTACACACAACGCAGAATTGTCTTTTGTGCTTTTGTAGGACATGACCAGTTTTGAAATGTCTGTGCTATTTTTTTGAAAAACCTTATGTTGGATGTTAATCACTTGAGGTGATATTCATAGTCGAGCATTAGGGAAGATGAAAGACATATATGTACCTAACTATACTTAATGTTGTGCTGAAACTGATATGATTCAGGATTTGAGATCGATATGGAGTATGTATACATGTATACTCGTACACATTAAGGAAAAGAATCACTCAGACAATTTTTAAAGCATTTATATATAAAGTAAGATGTGAAACTTAAAAGATAAAACCAGTTATGGTCATGCGACTGCATTGTGAAAGGATTGTTGTGGAATCGATCAGAAAAGGTTGATCATCTAGCATATAAGTCTTGGTGTGTACTGCAAGGTTCTAGAATCATCGAAATGATAAAAAAATTGGCCCAGTCTTGGTAAAGTTACAAGCACTGTACACAGAAAGATGTATATGGGACTACGCACAAGTGCGCGACACATGCGTTATATCTATCAAGTCCAAATAGATATAATAATTTACCAAATATATCAATTAGTAGGCAGTTTCTCGGCAAAATTTGTATGATCACGTACTAGTCAAAACATTGTGTGCGGGCAAGCACTGAATCAAATGACCGGGGTAATAGTATATTTGTCAAGCGCGTAGAAACATTACTGTTATAGATACTTTTCTTTGGTAAACTTATCTACACATTGCCTATAGAGTATGTCAAGTTTTTATGAAAGACACAAGATAAGATGTATATAAATAAGCAGTAACTAATAAGTAACAAGACATGGTGGTATACAAATAAAGTATATTGCTCCTTCTTAATGACGACGGTTAAAGTTGTCATAGCGATAGATGCTAAATAAAAATGTGCCTTTTTTAATACACATGATCTGTTTGTATGCAATGGTTGAAATCAACATCACGTTTAAATATTGCCTTCAGTACAGCAATTATAATTTGTATTCATCTCAATAATGTTGTGTAAATTTAACTGTTAGTTATGGCCGAATAAAGCTTTCAATGTACACCATAAAAATATGTTATGTATCTTCATTTTAGCATTACTATAATTATATTAAAATCTTATGTCTTTACACATTTACAAGTTATCACGTACTGACGTAGGTCATGCAATACACAGGCACTGTAGAACACAACTTATTTACAAGAAGTTACAATCACTTTTTTTTTTAAACTTTACAATTGCATGCAGTACCAAAATAAGAATACTGAAAAACACTGCATTATGGACAAGTATGAATCAAGTAAGATGTTAAATTAATTCACTACTGTTATTCATTATAGTATACTGATACAACAATTTTTAATATTTTTTTTAATTTATTTCTTTTTATTTCTCCACTTTCCCTTTAGCCATGTACCTTCATGTTGTTATATATGTTAAAGGTGTCGCTCTGGACCTATAACATATGATAAGACAAAAAATCCACCAGTTATTTCTGATTTCTATCAAATTTTTAGATTTTGTGTTGTTGTTGTTGTTTGGTATTATCGGCGTTTCATTCTTTTTTAGAATATTTACGCCTTTCACTTTATTTCTTTTTTTTCTTCTATTTTTGGTACTATTTTTCAATTCATATTCATCTCTTTTTTTTTGGATAATATAATCTCAGATCTACTGGTCCATGAAAACCCCTCACCGCAATTGGCACCTTCCTGCCAGACCGGCGCGGTACATTGCGCAATCTTCTCGGCCATCATTGGCCTAGGCAACTCTGGTGCCGGTGAGAGGATTCTGGGGTAGATCTTTTGTGTCTCTTGTTTGGGGTTTACCGTCCTCAATCCGTCTTTACTCTTTCTTACCTTTTCTCTTCTAGTATTTTTCCATTTTGTAAAACCTTATTTTTCTATCAAAGTGGGTATCAACATCTTAGGGCATTTGGTTGTCGTGCGATATGTGCCAAAAAAAAAATGTGGATTTAGTAATTCCTTTTTGAATGAAACATGGATTTAGCTTCTTTTGGAATTGAATGGATTTAGCTCCTTTTGGAATGAAACTGTAATAATGTTGTTTACTTTCTTTTCGAAAGGTTATATTTATGTGTGATTTCACTATTATTATTTAAAAGGAAAGGTTTGCTGCTAAATTTGAATAAAATTTCAGTGACTTTATTGAGAAAATATGATTTATTTTTTATTTTTTAGGTACAATAACATGTTTCATTCCAAAAGGAGCTAAATCCACGAAAATAAAAAATCAAAAAATTTAGTAAACATCAGAAAAGCCGAAGGGAAGATTTTTTCTTATCATTATTGGCAGATAATCAGGTCCATGCAGGGTGACACCTTTAACATATATAACAACATGAAGGTATACATGGCTAAAGGGAAAGTGGAGAAATAAAAAAGGCAATTTACTCAGAAGTACCCAAAGTGGATTTGGCTCCTTTTGGAATGAAACTCTTCACATATTATAAAAGGAAGACAAGTAATATAAAAGGAAAAACGAAGGCCCACGTCATTTACATAGAAGGTAGGTGGACAGATAACCTCGATGTTTTTAATCTAATTTCATCTGGGAGATCATTCCACAGCTTTGTTCCTACAAACGAAATACAAAATTGCCCTTGCGTTGTCTCACATATTGGTTGATAGATAGAGTAAGCCACTTTCTTTACACTGTAGAAGTAATCAACTGGGTCATACGACGTACAATACATACACATACACTACTACTAGGTCGAGCGTACTCGCACTACATACACATACAGTATTCGCATATCGCGCTCAAAAACAATAGCGCTACCAGTACCACAGACCATGCAATTATGTGCAGGCCTCGCATACCATAATGTGTATAATATAAATCAGTCAGCGCGCTATAGACATGGTTCGGATATTACTTGCACGCCCATATCCGATCGTCGTCTTGGCGAAAATTCACGGTGTGCTGCCGCTTGACCGAGAGGTGGCGCTATACAATTACACTGAACACGCCTCGAAAGTAAAATTTTTGATAAATAAAATCATTTGCAGTCGAACAGGTTTTTTGCATATAAATTCACTCTAATGTAATATTTCGGATTTATATCTTCAATGATGCATTCTTAGACATTTATTGTATGTTTTTTTATGTTTAGATCATAGTTTCGTTCGCTAATGTGAGTATTGACCAACACTCAACTATTCCTTTAAAAGATTCATAACTTTCTTATCCGATTTTGCTCAAACTTTTTTGATTAGTTTGTCTAATTTTTCTGCTTCTATTAAAAGTAAGTTATTTTTGGAGTGGACTTACACTTTAAAGTTCTACGTGCAATTGGAGACACATAAACTTGTTTATTTAATAGGTTTTCCTTTAATTTTGATATTAAATTTTGAAACAAATATATATATTTCTCCAGTTTAAACCCCTCAACAATTATAGACAATACCTCCATTATAAAACACAAAAGAGAGAGAGAGAGAGAGAGAAAGAAGAAAAAAAAGAATGACCTACCGGTTTATAAAAAAAGATGATGAGGAGAAAAGGAAAGAATAATGATGAAGAAAACAACCGGAAAAAGTCTAGAAGACAAAATCCTGCCATCTGCATGCATTCCTGTTTCATTTTGAACAAAAAAGTTGCAATTTTATGATTGTTCATTATATGTTCATTAGAAGTAGACCTATAGTTTATACCGGTAGTACATTAGCAATTTAGTCCATTTTTATTTTCTGCGTGAATTCTCACCACACCGGCCTCGGTCATAAGTTTTAAATCATGTTGTGAAAAAAACATTGTGTTTGAAATCTAATACCTTAATTAACGTTGTATAAACTGCCCTTGTGTATTAACCGCACCCCTCTTTTTCGCCCTAAAAAAAAATTGAAAAAATAGTTTTTGTTTTTGCCGACTCTGTCGGCAGCAAGCCAGGTCTGTGTTAATAAACCCATGCGGGAAGGCCTTTAATTTAACTGCGAGGTGCAGTTGAATGTGTAAGATCATTCATGTATTATTAAAACACAGTAGAGGACCTAAAAAAGTAGGATAGAACCTTGTGGTACGCCGTGTGTAATAGAAGAAAAATTGAAGGAATTATTATTATAAACTACATATTGAGATCTATCAGAAAGATTACTTTCAAATCAAGATGACAGACAAATTTGAGTGTTGTTCTAGTTTCCGAGTGGTGAGTGGACACACCGATTACTGAGCTGTGAGACATTACCAGGCATAGCACCAGGTGGAAGGGCATAAATGGAAACTTTCAACAACAAAAAAACCCAAATGGAAGGGGTAATTTGCTGATAGTTCAAAGTTGGGTAAAGTTGTCTCTGAAATAGGTGTTCTAGAGAAGGAGGAGGGGGCATTGGGGATAGTTCTCTGCAAGGTACTTGTCCTGTAGTGGATTGGTAGTACTTTTTTTTCTTCCTAGAAATAATGAATCAATACCAATTTGTAAAGCACTAATCCAGAATATGTTCATCAATTTACAGGTCAACTAAGTTACTCATTTTCTTCTTCTTCTTTATTGATCACTAGTGTTGCCAACAGTATCAGGAGGACTATCTTGGCTGAGGTTCCCACCATAGCTATTGACTGGGTGGAAATTCAAGCTAATAGCTCCGTTCTGCATGATGAATTCATTTCTCATAGAGTTGGTAAGCTTTGGCAAATCATAAAGTTTTTTTTTTTTTTTTTTTTTTTAGAGTGGGGGGGGGGGGGGTGACATGTAGTATTTTGTGCCAACTCATTTTAGATGTCTTCAAGATAAAAACAATAGCAGTACAGGGGAGTGTTTCACAAACGCTAAGATCGACTTTAAGCTGGACTTAACTATTGCACGCCATATATGCCATTGTTTGCCCTCACAATGCCCTTTACTGGCATTGGTCTCTCAAGAGACATACAAATCATGGTCACAAATCTACAGAATTTACACTCTTTGGATAATTTGTTATTGAAGGAAAAATATAATCTAAAGATCATGATGGTGAGAGCAACCAGTGGCATGATTAGCTGCCATAGTTAAGTCCAAATTAAAGTCGATCTTAGTCTTTGTGAAACACTCCCCAGATGTTTATTTCATGTTGGTCAAAAATCAGAGAGTAGTATTTTTTTCTACTAGTCCAAATTGACAGGTTGGCATTAGGCTGTTCACTTGATGGATTACAAATTTTCTCGTGTGTAGCTGACTGGAAAAAAAATGGATCATGTAATAACCTTGACCAACAACTCTGAAATGCAGTTTGTGAAGAAAAGATAATGAATGTTTTTGGTTCAATTTTGTTATTGTCTAATGAGCTGAACTTGTTCTCTGTTTTGTAGGTCTCATCCCACTGACAAGTGATGAAGTAGTTGACAAACTCAACTTCAACAGGGTAAGTGGCTTCATTCATATCTCTTCTTTGTTCTCTGCTTTTAGTGCTGTAACCTTTCAGTTCATTTCTTTTTAATTCATTTAATTTCTTTAAACTTTAAAAACTGGAAAGAGGTTGTAAGTCGCTCAAGTATGCACTATTTTTTTTTTTTAATTGGAGTGTTGCAATAAATATTATAATATTGACTTAGTTGATGTGCAGACAATCTGGTATGAGTTATATTTTATGTAAGATTGGTTATTTTGATAAGATAGTAAAGAAAGAAGTGCACTAAATATGGTAATACCAACTTTGGGCAAATGCTCAATATCTTGGGCACTTGGAAATCACTATATTAAGGCAATGCCATTCAAACTGATAACATTATTGTACTTTATTTCTGTATTTAACAGGACTGTGGATGTGAGGAGTTTTGTTCGGATTGCTCAGTAGAGCTGTCACTAGATGTGAAGTGTACGGATGATCAGACACGTCATGTTACCTCTAGGGATCTCCTCTCAAGTAACCAGAAAGTTGTCCCGGTAAGCACTCGCCTCCTCTCCGCATCATCAAGCGTAATGTTATCAGTACCGGGGGATGTTTCATAAAGCTGTGCGTAAAGTTAGGCAGGACTTTAGTGTGTTGCAAGAAAATGAATAGGTTTGGGTAGAATCATTTTCTATAGGGAAATGGAGAATATTCATTGAAAATATATTAGAGTATTTGATGCTCCAACAGAAAAAAGAGAAAATGTATTAGAGTATTTTATGCTAAACCAAAGATAGAGAAAATGTAGTAGAATATTTTTAGCTCCAACTCTTTTGTTTTCTGTCTCTGCCATGTAGTTCTGATTTTTTAGGAGAATACCAGCATCAGTGATTTTGTGACATTTTATTTTCACTCTCCTATGCTCCAAAACTAACGATTTATTGATACATGTACCTAACCATTTTTTCAGGTAACTTTTAATGATATTCAGTGCCCTTGCAGATCTGTAAGTTGTCCAAATCCAATTAATTACCGTATTTGCCGACGTAAAGGCCGCAGTATTTTTAGAAGAGAAAATATCAAAAAGTTGGGGTGCGGCCTTTGCGGCGAAAGAGTAAAAAAAAAAAAAGTCGCAAGTCAAAACCATGAAACACAGCACGAATTTGTACATATGGGACATGACGGACATTTCTAGAATAACTGTCTAGAGTACACATGTCTTACCGACAATTATGTGTTATATTTTTTAAATGAAGAGCAAAGTTTTGTCAATCTCGAAAATAAAATTCATAACTTACCAACCAAACTCTACTGGTAGATCTAGATTTAAGTTTTTGCCATAGCTAAAGCCCCCTCAATCCTCTCGCTCGCGCGATCAAAGCTATGGCGCAATACTCAAGAGAAAGACGCAATATATACACAAGAGAAAGCTGGAAGGGATAGCATCAGGGCCGGGATTGCCGAGCGGTCTAAGGCAGTGATTTGGGTCACATCTGCATTTGTAGGGGAGGGTTCATATCCCGCCTCCGACAATTTTTTTTTTAAATGTCGAAATCGGGGGTGCGGCCCATGCGTTGCTGCGGCCTTATCGCCAGCAAATACGGTACGTTGATCATCTCACCATTTTGTTTTACTATTTTTAATTTTCAGGTTCCGTCAAGAAATCAGGAATCGAGTGACTATGGTGAAGTAGATGGTGAGTTTTTAAAACAAAATAAAGAAGATGTTGACGTAATAGAGCCTTCCTTAAATTTCTTCAAGGGTTGGAAAATCATAAAATCCTTGAATGTTACAAGTAGAAAAGTATGGCCACTGGTTTTTGGATCACAAGGGTCCGCGGTTCCAAGTCCCGCCACGGCACTAATGTCCTTTGGCAAGACATTGATCTACATTTGCCACTCTCCACTCAGGTATTACATGGGTACCCGGTAGGATGCGAAAGCTAATGTGGTTAGATGAACAAGTTTGCGCTTGTAAAAAATGACGCCTGGCTGGATTGCTCCCAGGGAGTGGAGAATGTGCATTCATTGTGTGCGGGTAAGCCTGAATCCGATGACCGGGCTAATAACATATATCTGATAGGGCCTGCGGTCCTGAAAAGCGCTATATAAGAAGAAACTATTATTATTATATATTATTAAATGAAAACGTTTAGAGGTAAATTTCAGGCTAATAATAAAGGAGTCAATGATAGCAAAATAGGGCAATATTGTGTATTTTATTTTGCTACTCAATGCTTCAAGGGTATTGTTATCTGTTTTAAAGGTAAAGACCAGTTATGGTCATGCGATTGCATTGTGAAAGAAACGTTGTGGAATCGATCAGAAAAGGTTGATCATCTAGCATCTAGCATCTGCAAGGTTCTGGAATCATCAAAATGATAAGAAATTTGGCCCATTCTTTGTAAAGTTACAAGCACTATACACAGAAAGATGTATATGGGACTACCCTATATCTCTCACAGACCATGAGAGAAACAAATTTACCAAATATATGAATTAGTAGGCGGTATCCCGGCCAATTTTTTATCATCATTGTATTTTAATAGTCAAAACATATTCTTTCACATGATTGGTAATGAGAGCTTCCATTTCATTTTTTGAAATTGGGGCGTTTCCAATACTGGTCTTTACCTTTAATAGCAGTTTTGAAGGACAAAATAATACCACCTGCCCTACATCCCATGGGCAACACAGTTTGCCAGACAGTTACAGTTACTACTTAAAACATTCACTTGCCCTACCAGCAATGCTTTTTCTATATTTGGTGAAAACATTGAGCAATACAGTGGTTATTCTGTAGCACTCTCCCTTTTCATATCCATTAGACATCCTGATCGTGAAGCTGAGGAAAGGGCAGGAGCTGAGGTTACGAGCTTATGCCAAGAAAGGTTTTGGTAAAGACCACGCCAAATGGGTCCCCACTGCGGCCATTGCTTTTGAATACGACCCTGATAACATTATGAGGCATACAGTCTACCCTAAACCAGAGGAATGGCCCAAGAGTGAATTCACAGAAGTAGATGAAGACACAGGTAAGTCCTCTACATTTTTTGTATAATAATTTTTTTGGAATAATTATTTAAATTGTAGTTTAAATTGTTAAATTGTTAAATTAATTTTTAAAGGTATAGACCAGTTCTGGTCATGCGATTGCATTGTGAAAGAAACGTTGTGGAATCGATCAGAAAAGGTTGATCATCTAGCATTTGGTGTGTACTGCAAGGTTCTGGAATCATCAAAATGATAAGAAATTTGGCCCAGTCTTGGTAAAGTTACAAGCACTGTAGACAGAAAGATGTATACAGGACTACCCTATATCTATCCAGTCCGGATAGATATAATAATTTACCAAATATGTCAATCAGTAGGCAGTTTCCCGGCAAAATTTATATCATCATGCATTAGTCAAAACATTCTTTCACATGATTGGCAATAAGAGCTTCCATTTCATTTTTTGAGAGGTGGCGTTTCCAAAACTGGTCTTTACCTTTAAATTATTATGAATTTGTATTTTTTGTAAGTATCATTTTTTTCTTTTTATATTATGGTCTGTTCTTCAACATGCATGGAAATAAATGCTACTCCATATTTAACATGCTCTTAAGATTTAGATATAACTAGGAAATTCTCTTATGTCATAAGTGTTCATGTACACTACAGATCTATAGCAGAGTGCCCTGCATATGATGAGTATGTTCATAATGAAACTATTACTACAGTGAACTGATTTATAGCATCCAAGGGCCAAAAGAATAGCAAATCCCATGATAATGAAATAATTTTTTTTAAATCAAAACCGAAGTTAGATGTACATATTAATTGATCTATTATCGCAAATTCAAGTATCAACAACAAATTTCCTCTAATTGTTAATAAAATGAATTATTAAACCAATAGACATTTTTGTTTTAATACATGTAAGTATGTATCAGTTGAAATTATCTAATGTTAAAAGAGATTGAAATTTGCATGTTTTGCCTTTATGTACATTAATTCCCATGAAATCATCATATATTGTACTCACTAATACAGTGAAGCATCTTTATTTGTTATCATTTGTACATGTATTTTGTTTTTCCAAAAAAGCCCAGGGCAAGTTTGATGGCGACGCTGTTCCTAACAAGTTCTTCTTCAATGTCGAGTCTATCGGTGCTCTGACGCCTGAAAACATTGTCTTCTCTGGATTGTCTGTACTGAAGAAGAAACTGAGTGATCTCCAGACGCAGCACAGCCATGAAGCACAGGCACAGGCCGAGGGATTAGCCATCAACTGAGGAATGAAGGGTGGTGTTTGTTTGTTTGTTTGTTTGTAAGAATTCAGGATTATTCAAGACTCTAAGTTCTGAGATCAGTAGAAGAGACAGAGAGAGAGATCATAAGAGAGAGAGAGAGAGAGAGAGATAGAGAGAGAGATGGAGAAAAAGAGATAGAGTTAGAGATAGAGATAGAGAGAGAGAGATGGAGAAAAAGAGATAGAGTGAGAGAAAGAGAGAGAGAGATGGAGAAAAAGAGATAGAGTGAGAGGAAGAGAGAGAGAGAGATGGAGAAAGAGATAGATAGAGGGAAAGAGCCAGCAAGATGAGAGGTTTTTGGAAATAGCAGACATCATGAAGGAAGTAGAGATCAATGGATGTCAATGTTCATCCCTTCCTATATGAATACCGGTAGATACTCTCTGTGAGGCCATGCCACCGCTATACTTCAACCCTTTGCTCTTAAACTTGATGTCATACATGTACAGTCAAACCTGCTTTAGTCTACAAAGACCACATTTTTTGTTTCCCTTGAAAATGGTTTCTCGTAGAATCATGTACTAAAGGAACCTGTCTACAAAGACCACTTCGTCGCCTGGCTGGCAGAAGGGCGTTAGCTCGAATTTCAGGTCAATAATGAAACTTTAAGCAGAAGGGCGTTAGCACTAAATCGCCTCAAACTTTTATAAAGCTTGACTTATTTCCGAGAAAAAAAAATTGTGGACGTGTTTTACTACAACATTTTTATTATGTTTTAAACAAATTTTCGGGACAGAAAGCAGTTTTAATATAAAACAAGTCTTTAAATGTGAATAATTCGAAAAAAAGTAGTTTTCGAGTCGCTTCTGCCACCCGGCCGACGACTTTTTGTGTTTCCCTTGGGTGATCGCTATAGACAGGTTTGACTATATCCTTAGTCTGGCCAGACAGACGTAGTGAATTTTGAATATGAACGGCAAGGAGGAGACTCGTCACTCATGGGAAATACATCTTAGCCAAGGATATAAATCGGGCCTAATATAAATTCCTTTTTACTCCTATTTGACAATGATCCACTTGAAGGAAATCAAGCTTGATAGTAGACAAATTGGCTTTAATGTGAAGTAAGGTAGAGATTAATTGCCCTTTATTAGTACTGAAGGCACTTTTTACTGACCAAGCTTCTTTTCTTTCTTCCTTAAAATTCCAGAGAGATTAAAAAATTACAGGTATGGCTTTGTGGAACACTATTTTTAACAAGATAAAAATAAAAAGGGCGTACCGTACATACCAACTTCAAATCTTCTGTCATACATGTTCATCAATTTGGTTGCATAGCAAAGATAATTATTTGAATGCTGTGAGCACCGAAATCGGTAGCCTAGCTGAGCCGGGGTAATATTGGAGCGCTTTGAGCACCTTGCAGGGTGGATATATGCGCTATATAAATACCCAATATTATTATTATTATTATATCTGGTGGGGATGTTTGACATCCTAAGTTTAAGTTTGTTTTGTTTTCAACAACTATGAATGTTATGACAATATCTCTTGAAGACATCTTGCAAGTTTTGTCTATAGAACAGAGATATTTCCCTCACATTTAATTCCTCTGTTTAGTAATCTCAAAAGAAATTATGGTATGATCTTAAGCGTAGAGCACACATTGAGTGTGACTATTTTACTGGGACTTTATATTGTTCCAGCATGCCTGTATAGTGTGAGATATGTAGACATGAGAACAGGAGTTTCACATATAATCTAATGCATGCTGTTGTCTCTCAATTGCATCAGAATCCAAGTGATAGTGTCTTTAGTAAATGATCATTTTTTTTACTGAAAACTTAGTATATCATTGTGATATCAAGTAAAATCAGGAATGTGTATAAATTAACACTCTGGCATGAAAATGCATGCTGTACTGGCTGTACTGCAAAGTAAATTATGATTCTGAAAAATACGAATATCAAGAAAAACAACAATGAATGAAGAAACTAATTTGAGTCCCTTTCCAGTTGGATGTAAATTGACCATTCTTGTAAGGTAAAATTATCATAGGAATGTTGACATCTGTAAGTACCATTTGTCAAGATATGTGTACCAGTGTAATGTTTTTGCCAATTCAAATTGCGTTCTGTAAATATTGTTGTAAATAAATTCTGTAATAAAATGAGAGAGAAATTTGTTGCATTGATATGTATGTCTCGTGTCGAAATACATTGTTCCATTAAAAAAACTGGATGTACTTTGAAGCCTTCATAGACCATTTTGGAATCCATAATGGAGACAAGAGTTATTACATGACATGTGTAACCTAGACAATGGCGGAGAGTATCCCAAGTGTGACATCATACTTCCCAAGTTGTCAAGTTTGCTGGTTCCAAGATTTTGCAGTGAACCTTGTGAGCAGGCTCTGTTGTTTGAAACCAGTAACCTTAACAATATTTTTAATACACTTAACATACATGGGAGCATTATAGATGACATACAAAATTAATACTGCAGCATATAGAAATTGGTCTACTGGTATTTTCTTCATTTTTTATTCTGAAGGTAATAGAGTTCCAGTTGACAGTTGGACATTAGTTTGAACATTATTTATACATACACACTTTTCCATATACACTGTAGCACAAAATACAATTGGCTGTTCAGTTTGTTTGACCATTAACAAAATGGTCAATTTCTCTGTACATTTTTATTATAATTTTCACTGATATGTTATGACAATAAATAAAAATTCATTAAGTATAATTGTCATTTATTTAAACATATTTGTGGCTTACACCCAGTAAATAAGATCGATCGATCGATCTGTATTGAAAAACAAGTCGGAAAAAATCTTGGAACCAGCGGGACTTGAACCTGCATCTACTGCTTGCCGGGCAGCGACTCTACCACTAGGCCATCACTGGTCCATGGCACAGTCACGATGAACTAGAACAAATACCCAAGTTCTCATGATTCATTCTGACTCATTAATATTCATTAGTCCGCCATATGACAATAACTTTTATAAATGTAATGCTTCCTGGGAGAAATTTCAATTATTTAAACATATTTGTGGCTTACACCCAGTAAATAAGATCGATTGATCGATCTGTATTGAAAAACAAGTCAGAAAAAATCTTGGAACCAGCGGGACTTGAACCTGCATCTACTGCTTGCCGGGCAGCGACTCTACCACCAGGCCATCACTGGTCCATATAAAAAAATATAATTGTCATGTAACTATACAATCAATAATCACAATGAATCCAATAGTAAAATCTTACATGATTGTAACCCTAAAGGAATAGGATGAATATAATGATTTTTAAAAAAACTTGACCTTGAAGATTTAAAAAAAATTATTTGCATTATTGCAAAGGTGAAACTTTGATTGGGCAATTTTATCATTTTATCAAAGTTCAATGCTTGGAAAAATTCAAAGTAATGATTATTATCAATTGCAAAACGCTTAAATACAGCCCCGGCATAGCACCTGAAGAGCTCCATGAACGCTACTGAGATGTGTGACATTCCCGGCCCCCCCCCCCACTCAGTGTTATTTAGGGTACGCATATGCGTGTTCCAACCAACCCCCCCCCCCCCCCCCCCCCTTTTCAGCAAAAGTCCGGTGTGTAAAGTCAATACGGCTCGACCTTTTTCTTTTGTATACGAGCCTTTTTCAGCACCCCCCCCCCCCCCCCCTTTTCAGCAAAAGTCCGGTGTGTAAAGTCAATACGGGTCGACCTTTTTCTTTTGTTACGAAAAGGACATTTTGGCAACACGCATGGGGTCCGTCCGTTCTCGGAGTGGGGGGGCCGGGGTGACATTTCAGGTTAAGCATGTTTTGCACAAGCAGACGATGTTGCATAACATCTCACACATTTTCAGTGCCTGTTATGTCGTCTCTCTTCAGTCAATTCTCTTACTTCACTACCATCAGGCTAAATGTTTAATTATCTGCCAATAGTTGATATAGTCTTGAAATTAGTGCAGAGTCTTGCAAGTCACTGTCAGCTAGTATCTTCTCTCACACGATAGCCTCATATAGCTTCCCAATGAATGCTATTAAGCACGGTCATAGAAGCATTGGCTATGCATGATACATTCACATTGCATAATCAGCACAGCCTGGTTCACTCGGGTCTAGGTGTATGGCTGTGTGTTATGTTTCATCTTCAGCTAGTTTCTTCTCTCTCTCCATCACTGAGTTGTAATGCTCTCCAAGGCCGTATGCATGATGGTGGTACCTGTAGAAGTTTTAAGGTCATAGCAAAGGGAATGTGTCAAAAGGATGTTGGTATGTTTATGTACTGAAAAATCAAAGCAGGTATAGTGCATTTTAACGAATTAAAGGATAAATAGTATGACAAAAAATTCCCACATCCACCCCCCCCCCCCCCCCCCCCCCCAATTTTATAATACCCAGTCCCGGTAGATTAATGTGAATCCAACCATAGGGAAAGACTTTCAAAAAAATGTTTCACAGCATCAAACTCCTCTATAAAGTAAAGAAGGTATACAAAGTTCTCAGGAGCTCTGTTTTTTATAGTTTTTCTCTGCAGAGCAAATTTTTAGAGGCAATATATTATCAATTTCCAGAGCTAAATCTCTCTACTACATGTAGTCACTGCTTTAATGACCACCTGTCTACAAAGACCACATTTGTTTGTTTCCCTTGAAAATGGTTTCTAGGAACCTGTCCACAAAGACCACCTGTCTCCAAAGACCACTTTGTGTTTAACTTGGCAGTTGCTATAGATAGGTTTGACTATATCTGTATATTTCAGCCAGCTGAAGTTATATTTTTCCATTTTTTTCGTAAAGAAATACACTATTCAAACATTATATTTTTCCAACACAAAGTATCATCCTTAAACATTACTATTTTTTAAATATTTTAATTGTGGTATTGAAAGGTATAAAGACAGTTTCAGCATCAACCGGTGATGTAATTGAATAGATGCATTGATCCTTGGTTGTTAATAATAATAATAATAATATTCAGCTTTTTTATAGCGCTTAATACATCTTGGACGTCTCTAAGCGCTTTACAGATATACTATTACCCCGGTCATTGGATTCAGTGCTTGCCCGCACACACTGTGTGCACAATCTCCACTCCCTGGGGAGCATTCCAGCCAGGCATTAATTGACGCTCAAAAACTGTTTGATATTTCAACTATTTAACTTACGATAGCATAATAGGATGACCTTTGAACTCTTCTCCCATCTTCAGTAGTGGACCTTCTGCCTGCAGTACTTCAATGGGTTTCTTGTATACCTCTGTTATGGCTTTCATCTGACACAAAATTCAAAACATACAAATTAAAAACCTAATAATTAAATGCATTTGGGTTCAGGTAAATTCATAACAAACATGGCGAATATTTGGTGACGGACACGGTACTACATAAATTTATTGTAATGGGCATTCTTGAAATTCACGACATTAAATTTGAACATAGATTTTTTGATACGCCTAAAATTGTGACTTAAATTCTATTCATTACATTTGTACTTTTCACAGTGATTTTATTGTCTGCAGAGCTCAATTTTGTAAACATGTTGTCAGTGCCTCATGAAGGGAATCATAAATCATTAGTTTTATACTTATATGACAGTCATATAGTTGAACTACAAATAAACTTTACCTCTCATGTAATATAAACAACATAAGTGTATGAGGAGATACATACGAAATGACCATTCCCACACCCAATACTCTAGTATACCTCACAACTGTATTAATTCAATAACCCAAGTAAAGCAAGGTTAAAAAACAATTTTTTGAAAGGAAAATATACTGTATATGTGGATTGTCCAATCAACTTGGTAATGTAGGACATGTGATGACCAAGTGGCTTGGACAAATAACAGGAGTTTACTGAATTTTTTTAAATGGAGAGTTAACATAAAAGAGAAGAGAGGAGAGTTGTAGAATAAATTAGATGTAGACACTGACGGACAGATGGCGGAGAGGGAGGGAGAGAGAGAGAGAAAGAGGGGGTGGGGGAGAGAGAGAGTGAGAGAGAAAGAGAGGGAGGGAGAAAGAGAGGGAGGGAGGGGGAGAGGGAGGGAGAGAGAGAGAGTGAGAGAGAAAGAGAGGGAGGGAGGGAGGGAGGGAGGGGAGAGGGAGGGGGAGAGGGAGGGAGAGAGAGAGAGAGAGAGAGAGAGAGAGGGAGGGAGGGGGAGAGGGAAAGAGGGAGGGAGAGAAAAAGAAAGAGGGGGTGGGGGAGAGAGAGAGAGAGTGAGAGAGGGAGAGAGTGAGAGAGGGAGAGAGAAAGAGAGGGAGGGAGGGGGAGAGGGAGGGAGGAGAGAGAGAGAGAGAGAGAGGGAGGGAGGAGGGAGAGAGAGAAAGAGGGGGTGGGGGAGAGAGAGAGTGAGAGAGAAAGAGAGGGAGGGAGGGAGGGAGGGGAGAGGGAGGGAGGGGGAGAGGGAGGGGGAGAGGGAGGGAGAGGAGAGGGGGAGAGGGGGGGGGGGTAGTCAGACTGGAAGTAGATAAGAGAGTTGAAGACTGAGGCACAGGGCCCTGTTTCACAACACTTGTTAGCAATAACAAGTCACAATAACTGTTAAAAGCTACTGAAATCATGGCATTTGATTGGCTGAGAGCAAATTTGTCATACAAATTTAGCATTTTGTTATTGACAACAAGTTTTTATGAAACAGGGCCCAGTAGAACAGATCCTCTCACTAATTACCTCATGATGACCACCCCAATCAGCTGTGTTAGCAACATCATCACAATACTTCTCATATTCATCTAGTAAAAACAAATGAATAATAATACAAAATAGATCTTTAGCAGTTAAAGATAAAGTTGAGTACTGGGCCTCGTCTTACAAAGCGTTGATATTTATCGCAACTATATATATACATAAGAGATAAGAGACTGCAAACTTGCAATTGATGGGAGGACTAGCGAATGATTTGGATCAATCGCAACTCTTTGTAAGACGGAACCCTGGTCTTTTGATTATTATTACTTTGTGAAATAAACTGTTCAGAAGCAATTGGGATCTAGGTTGATTATGTAGTACATAAGCATTGATGTATAGATTCAGAGGGGTGTTTCACAAAGATCCCAAGTCGAACTTAACTCTTAGTTCGACTTAAAAGTTATGGAAAGCCATTTGTAGCCTTAAAATAAAATATTAAAAAGTGAAAATTCAAGTATTTTAGACTTTTTATAAATTCCACATCAAGCACATAAAATCTCCTTGATAATAGAAAATATGAATGATTTGAATCAACATTTTATGCCTTTTAAAACAACTCTCACAATATACAGTATGTTCATAGATGCTAATGGCTTTCCATAATTGTTAAGTCCAACTTAGAGACAAGTTCAACTTAGGATCTTTGTGAAAGACAGCCCTGGAATGACCAAATTGATCCAGTCCTGCTGAAAATCACAATTTAATTGGAGTAAGGGGTTATTTTAAACATAACAATTTTTCTCTAACAATCTATTGAAAATAAGAAATACTTGCAGTCAAATTCTACTTGTTTCTATAATCTATTTCACCCAGCTTCAGTCATGCCTGTACTAACAGACATCTATCACATGGCTCACCTGGTGTCAACATGTCTCCTGTATCAGGTTTTGTCAGGAAGCACAAGAACTCATCGATATTGCATTTCATATGATCTGATACCTTCTGTCTAACCAACTCCATTTTCTCCTGCAATAGAATACAAATATATAGGAATAAAAAGTATTCACCCTTTCATTATTGCACAAAAGCAAATTAAAACCTTATTTTCCGCACCCCCTACAAACAACTGGTCAACAGGGGTCAAATTTTCAGAAGTTATAGTGACGACATAACATGTGGACCCAATCGGTTCACCTATAGAGCTGAGGCGATGAGCCGTGCTTAATTACCGGTAATGCAAAGTCATTGTGAATATGCATACTCCACATAAGATGATGTCATTAAGTTGATAGCAAGTTTTCGTTAGGTTGACAACTTTTGATTTCAAAGCTTTGGGTTTTGAGTTTTCAGAGGGCTGATACTCCTCTGACAGACACTAAAATGGCATATAATTGATATTATTGTAATATATGGCTTACAAGCTTTCTGTTGATATAAAATTCATCCATTTCATTTTTCAGTTCAGATATGGTCTTTGACAATCACTTTACAGCTTTCACAAGACTTGAACTGAGTGTCATAACTGGACATCAGTTTTTTTTTATCACTGTTTAAGCAACCCTCATACTACTTTGTGGAGTAAATTGGGAAGAGTTTTGTAATTTCAAGGAAAAGGCACTATACCCAATACTGAGTCTGTAAATTGGCTGAACTGAAAGACACAAGTATGATATCAAGACTAGTTGGTCTTCTTAATAGACCGACTACTTGCAAAAAATATTTTAAAAATAAGAAGAAAAAAAAAGGAAAAAACCAATGTCCCCTAATAATGAACTTGACCAATACTGTGTGACAATGATATATCAGTAAATGCTAATGCGATACACTAATTCATTATTTTAGCTGGTTTAGAATAATACACACCTCAATACCCTGTAAGGATAGTTGATGAACCACTGCATTGTACAAACAATGACCATCTGATGGTATCTGGGGTAAAAAAAAATCAATTAAATAAACAATCAATGAAAATGTGTTGTTTTCTAGGATCGATCATAAGGAGGAGAGGGAAATAACAGTGCATTGGATGGAATAGATAACAGCTACAGGAGCAGGCCAGTTTATTCCATCTTACATCTCAAATGTAGGGGTACCCAGAACCTCAAATTATTTTAATTTGCATAATAGTATAATATCAAATAGCAGAGAATTATAATATAAATATGACACCATGCACTGAGATGTTTACACATTAAGTCAGGTCACAACAATTCCTCTATGATTTCATGCAAATTTCATATCTTCTTCTTTCCGTGTACTTGTCTTCCCTTCCTTTCTGCAGAACTGAAGTACATCAATACAAATGTCTAAATTGTTCAAGGGAGACAGTTTTCTTCATACCCTTTTAAAAGCAATGTAAATTTCAGAATATGATTTGAGATTTTGAAAACTATCACATTTTGAAGAAAGGACCTAAAGCCGTCGGTCCTCTGGTTGCTTACTAACAAGTATTTATGCTTTCTTAGCAGTCAGGTAAAATAATCACCATTACTACTACTACTACTACTTGTTACACTCACCTGTTTTATTTGTAGATTTCTCTTTGATGTGATACATGCAAACTGTTTATTCTCAATGTTTCTTGCACTGTTTACATTATCCTTCTCTGCGATGGCTATCCTTTCTACCTTCTCCTTTTCTTCTTGAGCTTTCTTATTCTGTGATGAATTCAATAATACATACTTGTAAACTATTAAATGTATACTATCAAAACAAAAATGAACGCTCAACTGCTTCATTCCAATAGCAAGATGAACAAGAAAAATAAACAAATAAATGAAATCGATTAGGGGCCTTTTACTTTTTGACATGACCTTATCATGACATGTAAACGGTGTTTCAATCTAAACAAAATGTAATCAATCACATTCTTTTATAGTGGGGGGGGGGGGGGGGGGAGGGGGACTTTAATGCATTTACATGTATGAGCAGCTTTCTCACTCACAATGAAAGAACATCAAGTACATTTTACTATTGGACTATTCATAATCCACTTCATTCTTCATGTTTTTTTTTCTTTCTTTCTTATACTTGGCCTGCAATTTATTAAATATTGTGTAATCACCTTTCCGCATGTGGGTCTATTACACATCATTTCATTTATGCTTTATCAAATTTCCAAATTTTCTGCGGGTTGTTTCACAAAGACTAAGATCGACTTTAAGTTGGACTTATCTATGGCTGGCTGTTTATGCCACTGTTTGCTCTCACCATTTACTGACATTGGTCTCTCAAGGGACGTACAAATCATGGTTACAAATCTACAGAATTTACATTTGTTGATAATTCATTATTGAAGGAAAAAATATCATCTAAAGATCATAATTGAGAAACCAATGATGAGAGCAACCAGGGGCATGATTGGCTTGCCATATTTAAGTCCAACTTAAATTCAATCTTAGTCTTTGTAAAACAACCCCACTGGTAAGTCATTTTATATTGCTCTTCTTTTTTAAGAGGGTGAGGGTGGCTAATCATCAAAGACTTGGACTCACTCTTCTTTTCTGTGCTTTTGAAAGCTTCTGAGGTTTATCTCCTGATTCTTCATTGATGTCTAGTCCTCCAAGCATTTCTTCCGTTGCTACCTCCTGTAAAGTAAAAACAAACAAACAAAACAATGAAATGTAATAATCATTATGAATATAAAATAGATGATTAACATAATTAAAATGAGAGTCATTTTAAGAAATAATGAAGTAAAACAGCAAAATCAATACACCTGATCTTCAAATTATAATCTACAGACTGTTTGGACAAACATTTTAGCCCGAATACAGTAAATTTCAAAACCCTTATTTCCAATTCCACATTCAGCCCACCATGTTTTGGCTGTTTTACTGCGCCTTGAGCATTTGACTGTCCAGTGGATTTGGCGCCTTATAAATCCTATGTATTATTATTATTATTATGTAACGAATGGAAAATGGAAAATATCTTCATTATTATAGTCCATATGGTAGTCCTGTGTCCTTCAATCCTAAAGATTATTACAGGATAAATGTTGTGTATAATGTGCTTGTGCTTAATGGTGCAGTTTAACTATTTATCTTGAATATTAAATCTTGATTAAACAAATATTTTTTGGGGCTTTACAGTTTACAGTATCTTCTCACATTCTGAGCTGCATCCAGAGGTACAGCTGCCTCGTTAGCCTCAAGCTCAGCCTGATGCCTCTGATCAAGTTCTGCTTCTAGTCTAGCGATCTCTTCGGTTGCTTCTTTCTTCCTCTTCTTGTCTCCTTTCGGTGCAGCTTTCTTTATTCCTTGAATCTTAGCTGTAATATAACAATTGGTAAACATTAAAGTATTTCTTACTTGATCTTGGTATACATATATGCAGACATTCCTTACTTTTGGGTTAAATTGATGTCAATCAAAATTTACAATAAATCAAAAGGTGCAAACTTTAGCCTTTTATTTTTAGGGCAAGCATGAGGGGATCAGAAGAAAAAAATGTTCAGTCATCAACTTTGTAAGTTGTAAACTTGTATTTGTACATGTAGACCTAGATCTATGTATGAGAGCTACAACCCTGCTGTAAACATTGTAAATAGTTTTTCCTTTTTAGCAGATCTTGTCATTTCCATCTGCTCCTTATTTCTAAATAATGAGGAGATTACAACAAAAGTCAAAACAAAGCTGTGGGACTGAGCACAAACAACAGTGACAAATATCTACACAATCATTCATAGGAATTTCATTAAAGTACTTTATACTGCATTCGTGTCAAAAATCCCTGAAAAACTCATGTCAAAAGTGTAAGAAATAAATTTTACCTTGCAATTCTTTCCGTTCATTCCTGTGTTTTTGTTCCAGTTCATTTTGATCCATGGTTGTGTGGTCAACAGCTGAGCGATGGCTTATTTTCTGTTCATAGGCTGCGAGAAATAAGAATATTGAAAGCCAATTTCTGCAAGAATCGAGCGCCGTTCTTGTTGAAGCTGCGCAGGTGAATTGAGAGAATTTGCGAATATCGTAGCGTAAAGTAAGCCAAATGCAAGCCAACAGAACCTTGATTAACCTATACCCGAAACTCTTCGGATAACAAAAGCAATCACTCAGCTCGGGATCTACGGCTCTCAAGAAAGACCTTCTTTTTGGTAAGAAGAATGACCTTTATCAATTGTCATGTTAGAGTGTGTGAGTGGCAATTGTTTGTACCAATGAACGTTTTATAAAAATGTCTTTAACTTACGTACAGGCTTCGTAAAAGGAACTTATGAGCATTTTTTGTTTCATCATTGTTTTCTTCGATTTCGCCACCGCTTCCCGTGTAACTTCCCGGCCGGGTGGTGAGGCGTACATAAAGAAACGGGTACCGAACGGTACTACAGGGCCGTGGAGTGGAGTTGCAACTGCTAGCTCTGCCGCGCCGCGTAGCCGTAGGGCACTATTTTGATAATACATGTATCTACACAATTTACCACATGATGTTGTTTTTTCATTGTTGTTCCTGCATTTCTGTGTTATTATAATTATTTTTTTCTTTATCACGATCTACCATAAAAATTTGATTATATAGAAAGTTTATCTAATGTTATTAATCATGTCGTCCCTATTTTCACAGTGATTTTTCCTCACTACTAGTGAGGAAAAATCGTAACGCAAAGTGAATGCGATTTTTATTCACTACCGTCACTTCGTGAAAATAGGGACGATGTGTTCCTAACTTCCTATTATCCTAAGGCTAATGCTAATCATTATCCTATTCTTCGTGGTATAGGCCTACTCCTAGGTCTACTAGTACTACTAGTTTTGATATTAATAAAATCATAAAATACAGATACATGTAGGTCTAGACCTAGGTCTAAGTAAATTAAATTAGCTATCTCGAAGACATGAATATGAATGAGTGTGATATTGTTGTTGTTGTTGTTTTGGCTTTACTTTAGAATACCCGACCAAATAGGGGTTAAACAGTAGGGGCGCTGTTCCGAGAATAGGGACCGTCTTCGTAAATTTTTGCTGAGGATGCTGATTTCCGATCCCTGCATTGGCGATGCAAAAAAATGGTTTTACAATGATTTTCTTGATGCATTTTAGTGATTTTACATTGATTTCTGGTTAATTTTTGTGGTGGGGTATTCTAAAGTTGCTCCAATGTTTTTGTGATAATTATATTTTTACTTGTAAGATCATTACAACATTTGGGGGGGGGGGGCATTGCAATGATGTTGTTTCTGTTTTTGTTTTTTTTTGTTATTTTTAATACATATATTTAAACCGGAATACTGCTATCAAAGTCACTACTGGTATATTTATTGACTTTGGGATGGTGCTTTTGTTTTAAAACAGCTGTAAAACACTTTTCAAACATGATGGCAAGTCTACATTTACAACCATGTATTAACAGTTTAACACTCACAAAATGCCCCCCCCCCCCCTCCAACAAATAGAAATAATGGACAATGGACATGTTATGTTGTTTCATGCTTCATCTGCATTATTTCTTGTTTTCTCTTCTGCGACGAATACATTTAAGTATTGATAATAATAAAAAAATAAATCTTGTACAATTATGATAGACCAAGAAATAGAAATGAAATAAAGAAACTAAAAAAGCTGATGAAGAACAAGAAAAATTTAAATATGTGTAATTGTGTATGGATCCAAAACATGAATGAGTAATACATGTAGCATGTAACTGAATAAGAGAGGAGTCAGAGAAAATATAGAAGAAAAAAAAGAGGAATGTTAAAGGTAATACAAAGTTTTGGGAAATTTTGAAAATTGGGTGGATAGTGAATCTTTACAATTTTGATGTCCCTGTGGATGTATTATAAGCACTTAAAAAATTAGCCCCTAAAATACTTCCGTTTTGAATATAAAAATTTACCGGTGCTCCTGGTAAATTTTTATAAATTTCAAAATAGCGCCTATCGCCGTACAATGGTAGCTGCGACCATGAAAATCTCAGAATATGTAGTTGTGATATATAATTTCCAAACGGGAATAGCTAATCGGTCGAATTTAGTCAAGAAACATTGTTTCGTAGCTAAATTAATATCTTGACCTTGAGAGGGAGCTATACAACATAAAGAGTTTATTATTTATAATTTCATAACTTTAGACTCGATTTCAACCGCGACAACGATCAATGAATATTGTAGGAACGCATATGCTTCCGAAATTGTTAATTTGAACCAAATTCATGACCCCATACCAAAACTTTGTAATACCTTTAATAACAATAATAGAAAGAGGGAACAGAAGAATGATAACAGATAGAATGTAGAAGAAGAACAGCAGAAGAAAGTTTTTTACAAAAAGGAAGAATCAAGATATGTTGGTGACAAGTGTCAAGAGTCACCGAATAAACTTCACCAGGCATCTTTTTAAGAAAGACAACAAAAAACAAAAACAAAAAAAGAAACTTGTACAATATGGAAGGACAGTGCACTTTAATACTGCAACACAGGAAAGTACCGTAGTCCACATACATGTATACATGTACATCTCAACATGTCATCTTTTTCTACATGCGGATTTCAGAGTGCCAGAGGTTATCAGGTGTTTCCTTTTGTGCTTGTATGTTTCTTTTTAACATTTGATTGTGGCCATCGGTGAAAAGACAGTACAAGACATACTGTATGGAGAATTAAATATATATACAGACATCGCTTGTGCATCTGCACGACTGAAGCTGGTGAGTCTGGCCAGACTCACAGAGAATGCAAGAATGAATAAACATATAAGGGAGGATTATCATATGCTGTAGGAGATAGGAAAAACAGACAAATTCATTTACCATAAAAGGAAAAAAAAATGAGGGGGAAAATAAATGTTCAAGAAGAGATTTAAAAAATTGGGAAGAGATGATACTGCTCTTTTTATAGTCCTGCATTTGTGAGTTTGAGATGTGTAGCTTTTATAATGTAAAAAATAATATGTCTCAACATACATGTATATAGCAATGAGATGAGTTACATTGTATTAAGTGGACAGGAAAAAAATATGTTGTAAGCATCATACATCATATTATACATTTAGGATAGGATATTGCATCGTAAACTACCCACTAGTCACATGCATGCTAGTCATCCATCCGTCAGTCCTGAATAAATGGGCTGACAAACATAGTTCCCCGTCTATTGATTGAGACGTTTTTGATTGATTGGTTTTATTTGATTTGACTAGATCTGCATACAAATTACTATTTCCTTTCCTTGTCCTCAATATTAATATCTCTTAGCCCACTCTATCGTCATGCATGCATTCAGGAGTTTACGAACCATCCCATATTCAATTCAATTCCAGTCCGCCAGCCTTGTGTACCATTCAATTCCAGGCCGCCAGCCTTGTGTATCCTACCATTCCTACATTTACCTAATTTGTTTACAATTCATTTATCATCTTCCATGCATGGCAGTCAGATTTCAATCAACTTTGAGAAGCAGGAAGAAAAAAAAGAGATATTTAGAAACAGTATACCCTGTATTATGTTTATGGGGCAGTGTGCACTGTACTATCCTGGTAAGATAGGGTAAGCTTTGAATAGTAATCTGACCTAGGTAGTGTTTACTGTGGTTTAATCAGATTCATTTGAGAATTATCATTTGTTGAATTTTCTGACTGGTGTAATGTTTTCAGACTTTATGAAATGATAAGACTTACCGGTACTTGGTAGATAAAAAACAACGGATTGAGATGTACTGTAAATGATTCACAAACAAGTGTTGGTGAATGTTCCGTCTCTCCTGGTACATACCTAAACCAGAATTTCCTGTTCTCAGTAGATTTTTTTCTAGGCTCTATTTATAACCCTTTTGAGAAATTAACATGTTACCTAAATTTGTATGGACATTTTTTTCTTTGTAGACTAAATTCAAGATGAGATTATGGAGTCCACCAAATTTTTAAACATAATATCTGTGCTATGTATACATGAAACCAGGGACTATAAATGATTCCAATTTGATTAATTTCATTTAGTCTTTGAACTTCTGTATTTTAATGAAGTATAACCATTTTATTATACGTGTAGTGTATTTGCAGTGCAGTGCGTACAGTGTATGTGGAGTGCGTCAACCCACAGTGCGTTAATCTTCATTTCATGAAGCCTGCACTTTTCAGGAAGAAAAGAAGAACAAGTGATGCAAATTGTATTTACAAGGTCAAGGTGAATCACTGCACATTTAAATACCAGCTCATTTTTCACAAACAATTCATTGTAAATTTCCTGTGATAAGAATAAAGGAAATGAACAAAAACAAAGAGCTTGGTTAGAAGTTTTAAACACTTAAAAAAATAACCACCATATTGGGTATTTATTATTATACAGGGCGTATCATAATAAAGGATATTGAAGTTTAATGACGATTTATATGAAAACTACTGATTTCATAATCAAGCATTTTATGTCTGTTGTAAAGGACAGAATGTCCTCTTGTTAATGACACCCCGATCATACTACTACTGTCACAGTTGAATGAATAACAAAGCATTGCTGTCCACCATGTGAAAGGTGCACTGTGACAAGTTAGCATTCACAGATAAATTCTAAAGATTAGTGCTTGTGTCAGCCCAGACATATTGAAATGCTGAACAATGAGTGGATCATGTGTCTAAGAAGGAAATGTTATCAAACTTGGCACAGTGCACCTTTCACATGGTGGACAGCAATGCATTGTTATTCAGTCAACTGTGACAGTAGTAGTATGATCGGGGTGTCATTAACAAGAGGACATTCTGTCCTTTACAACAGACATAAAATGCTTGATTATGAAATCAGTAGTTTTCATATAAATCGTCATTAAACTTCAATATCCTTTATTATGATACGCCCTGTATACTTGCAGTTTAAAAAAAAGATGCTGAAACGATATTATTCAAGCCTTGATGTGATGAGCAGAATAAAGAGAGAGAGAGAGAGAGAGAGAGAGATGACAACCTTGCCTTGGTCGTTTTTTACATCATGTTTGATAATGAAAGGCGTGATATGATTTTGTTCTTTTCTATCCGGATAATTGATTTTGTGGGCATATGTTGTGTAGCCTGGCATTCAGTTCAAAGCATTTCTTATTTTCCATGCTTCTCTCTTTTCATTATAGATATTAAATAAACAGAATAGTTTACATAAGTTTGTAATTCACAGACCTTT